GTTTCATAGACTTCACCTCCATGGACCGCTATAAATAGACCAAAATTGGAGTGGATAGCATCAACACATCCGTTCTGTTTTCATAATTGTTTCAATCTCTTTTGTTCAAGTGTTCATACTGTTATATGTTGGAAACATATATTGTGAACATTGGGGTAAATGTAGAAGATGAAGAAATGAAGAATGAAGTTTTATCTCTGAAGTATGCATGGGTGTGCGTGTGCGAAATTGATATGGAGTATTGTATTTTTTTTCTTTTTTTTGAAAGTAATATTATACTCCGTAGCATATTATCCGAAAAATGATTTCAAGATATGGATTCATTTTTATCAAGAGTTTCAGGTGGCAAATATTTGGGAGAAATTAGATTACTAATTCAAATAACTCATACTTCGTATAAAGATCAAGTATCAACTACGGACTATATTACAACAAAATTAACAAAGTAAAACAGAAGACAGAAATCTGACACATCTACCATGCAATATTTACATATTTACATAGAAAACAAAGACCTGAAAGAAGCCTACCTATTTCAAATCTCCAACCCGTTTGTCTAGTGAGAAAATTCCCCACAAATTTTGCATTGACTTGAATTAAATATTACTAAGACGTTGAAGTGTAAGGCTCTCATGTTGTGTAAGGCTCCCGTTGAAGTGTAAGAAAATCCTTACGGCTTCAAATAACTGTAAAGAAAATCCTTACGGCTTCAAATAACTGTAATATTCCTGTTGAAGTGTAAATCATAGTATCATACAGAGTATAATATATAAATAAAAAAAGGGTAGACAAAGAGTTGTTAAACATAAGTAAAATGATTTTTTTATAAGTTGTTGATAAAACATAATCGTGATTTTTTTTCTAGATGCAGATTTAAGCCAAGCAAGTGATGGGCTTCAGAGTCGCCAATGTGAGAGTGGGTGATGACAAAATCTGATGAAGTTGTGAAAAGGGACAATAGATCGAGGTTTGACCTTGAGGAGAGATATAACAATGTACAGAGTAAGAATAAGTGGGATAAAGTGGGGTGCCGATTAGGTTATATTTTCGGTGGAGTGGGTTTCAAGATTTTTCTAGAGAATGTGTGGGAAAAAAAACTCTGTATTTTAAAGAAAATGAAAGTGTCCGGTCAACACCTTTTTTTTGGAACGTTAAATGTAGTGAAATGGCAAAGAGAAAGAGCTGAGGTTGGTGTATCATGTAAGAGAGCAGGGGATTTTCTTGAAATTTCGAAGAAATTAATTAAAATGTTCTAAAATACTTTTGAATAAATTAATACTGTTTAAAAAATTAAAGATGTGTTTGGGAATTCTGACTAGCGCAACAACCAAGACTTAAAAAAGTTATAACAATTTTAAGGTAAAAATGATTTTACGTAAACCGGAGTACAAATAATTTTGATGAACGCATATACATGACTCTAATCAATAGACTTTTGTGTGTTATTAAATTTTCAAATAAAAACTTTTTTGAAGATGTTATGTTTTAATTATGTAGATAAAATATAATCGAATATAAAGTTCATTGATAGAAAATATAAAAAAAATTGAAACGGCTGAAGAAAAAACGTAATCAACAAAATCGACGGATCTACCTGATCTGTAGGCTCACTACGGTGGGTGGTTTCGCTACCATATAGTGGGGGTGTGATCTTACCGTTGTCATGTAAATCGACCTATACGGCATTAGTGGGCGACCTATTGCGGACCATCGGTGTCTTCATCGCTGGAGGTTCTAGGTTGTGGCGGACCATTGACGGACAATGAGTAGAGAAATCCCGCTGTGTCATTTGCTTTCGCCGGCTTTAAGTTAGGGAATTTTGGTTTTCTTTGTAATGGGTTGGAGAGAATGTCTTTATTAGCCACAAGAATGAAGGGTTTGATTCTCCTGTGGAATGGACTAATGAGGAGCCGAGTGGGGAGAGATGCAATTTATTGAGCCTCAGACTTTCTAACACCACTAGACTAATAATGAAAAGCCTGTTAAAATGCAAGGCCCCTGGAAATTGGTTGGGCAATGGTCCATGCTCACAAGTTATCAAATATGGTTACACATTTCCACATATTTGCACCCCCTGATTTGCCTATTTACCCAGACAATTCATTAAAACAATGCAATTCGTATAACCCTATTACTTATTTACTAAAATAATTTACGTTCAATAAAATTACTTTTGAAAATGGAAAATTCTTTGGCAAAATCATTTGTGTATCATGCGGGTAAATTACTACCAGAAGAAAAGAATTTTAAAAGGGGTTAGTGTGAGACAGAAAGTGCCAATTCTCAAACAATCATTAACAATTTCAGATGTTAGCTTATCATTTCAATTTCGGAAGCGATAATACCCAAACATGACTATAAATAAAAATTAAGGACAATCATTGTCGTGTCTTTGTTTGTTATTGAAAAAACGTGTTTTTAGTCATGATTAACTTTATGCAATTGTGTTTAAAGTAACAGCCAAACATACAAAATATATATTGCAAACGATGACAGAGGAACAAACAGTGGTATCAAGAATTTGTGTATAAAGAAGTGTTTCATAATGTTTTTGAATGGAATATAATGGGGTAGTTTGGATTCAGCGTTTCATCCTCAACACGCTGCTTTTTGGAACATTTTATTTGTTAAAAGATTAGCGATTTGGCTAAAAAACCAATAACCAAACGTTTTTCAAATTATTTTATATTTCATGTTACTTACTATTTTGTGGGGCTATAAAAATTGTGTACTACTCCGAATCATTGGAAAATTGCATTAACTACTACCACTGTCCTGTTGAAAGTTTCATATGGCAAAATGACACGGTTATGAAAACAATAATTGAATAAAGTAGTTCGAGTTTATATCGAGAAATAATTTTAATGAGTATATATTATAATGAGATTAGTGTTGATAACTGTGATATTATAAATGTATATTTTTAATATTTAGTTATTAATATGCCATTTAAGATTGTTAATTGTTTTTAAACATGAAAACGAGAACCTTTATGCGGGGCGTCCTAAACAGGAACTGAGAACCTTTCTATGAGACGGAGGGAGTATATTTCATTTTATGTCAAATTATATTATTATATAATTCTAAACTATTCAATAGAAATTACAAATTCAATATTTATTTCTAATTTGACTAAAAGTTTACAGATGAAATTTCACCAACCGTGCATCGCACGGGTGTTCTACTAGTAAAATAAATAGTAAGATTTAGAATTAAAACATCATACCGTGACACCGATGTAAGTCCACATAGCTGTTAAGCAAACTTACAAATTATTACTACGTATAATATTATGTGCATACAATATTCAACAAAGATTTGATTGATCGTCCATCTTCATCACACATCAGTCAATGTGTACAAATGGAGCGACAAAGAATAATGCCAACTTTTTTCAACAATTTTACCTTCCTCTTAGTAATGATCATTCCATAGCTATCTATGAATTGAACTATCTACTCTAAAAGGTGGACGAAAGCTCAACATGTGATGATGTTAAAATTAGTGCAAGGGCATACAACTATTCATCAAGATTTTCTCTTTGCATGATTTGAGTCTCAATTATATGAGTTGCAATTTGGTCGATCACCACAACTCATTTACCACGTACTTCACACCCCAAGAGGATGGTTTATGTTCATCATAAGCAATATCACATGAACCTTTACTTGGCAAATTGTAACATTTAGTGCCATTAAATTTATAAAGAGAGTTTATCTCGTGTAAGAGGTCACTTTATGATCTCAATGAAGAAGCTAAGTTTGAGTTAGATAAGTCTTTAACTCTGAATCTATCTGGCTGAACATGTTATTGTTGAACTCATTAACCTCATATATGGTCGAAGCAATAATAGTTCTCAAATAAAGATACATGTATAATTGTGTCGCTCTAAGCCAAGGAGTCAAGAAATAGCTTGAAAAATAGATTTAGCATGACAATTGGAGCAATCCTATCATAAGGTGAATCAATGAGTGGCTTTCCATCTTGATTTTCCACAAAAACACCATCACCAATTTGCAAATCCAATGTACAACATATTGAATACTTCCTCCGTTCCATAAAAGTTGCAACATTGGAATTTATGCACTATTCACACACCTTACTTTGACTATGATTTTCTAATAATATATATAATAAAAATATTATGTATAAAATATTAGTAAATTTGTATTAGTGTAAATTTCCAATATATTAACTTTTTTTAATGTTTACTAATACGTAAATAAATATAATTTCAGTCAAAGTTGCGCGTTGGCAAACGTGAAAGTCAAACTGTTGTAACTTTTATGGAACGGAGGATAGTACTTGGTGCATCCAGCTCATCGACAATCCTTCCAAGCCTCACGTTCATACTTAGCTTAACTAAATTACAACATGACCACAAAAATGAATATTAAGATATGTGTGCACTATATCATGCCCGTTTGGTAATACTAAAATTGACTTAAGATGCTGAATCTACTAAAAGTTATGAAATTCTAACTAAAGTGACTGGATTGACTAATTTTGTTAAGTTATGAAAAATATATATTTAAATTATATTTCATTTACAAAATAAAGAAAATATTATATTAAAAGTAGCTAAAATGATTCTATACAATAATTTCAGCCAATTTAGCTTGAAAAATAACTCTAACCTTACTTATTTTGATTATCATACTCTCTGTCTCATTGGATTTTGCCAACTTTCCTTTTATTGTCCCAAAAAACTTTGTCACTTCCTATTGAAGCAACTAATTTGTGGTTTTGCACATTTTCCTCTCCTCTGCACAAATCTCAACCACACAGTTTTTACTATTCTTATTTCTCACCTATTTGCACTTGGCAAAGTCCACTGAGACGGAGGTAGTACAATTTAGGACGCAACCTCAAAAGATTCATGTTTAGTAAAAATGTTGACCGATAAGAAAACTCATGTATAATGAAAAAGATATGAACCTTTTTCTCTTCACACCATTAATAAGGTGAAAAGTCCTAGGCCAAGAAGACAACAAACTTTATTTCCCTTAACTCCTTAAGTCATTATTTTGTTTTAAAAATAAGCTCAGGGGAGGAAGAATTAAAGAGAAGTAAAGTGTATTTGCTTATCTTCACATTACTATGGTCTAATATAATATCACAGACCTCTACGAATAGAGATTTTTTTACAGAAAAAGATGGCCTAAAAAGTCTATCGGCTATATATTAATAACTAATCAGTGACACAATTATCCCTATTTTATCGAGCCTCTCACCAAAGTTGCTGAAAATGTCCTTCTCCCTTCCCTGTTGCACTTTCAAGCACCAAAGTCTACAACCAAAACTGTGCAGCTTAACACTAAACAAGTAAACAATGACATTATTGGGTTCCATACTTCCATCCATCTGCTTTTTTGCCAAGATGAGAAAGTTTTATACACAAATAAAATGTGATCTAAACCATCAGGAGTTTTGTGTAATATGAGGTATGCTAGAAAGATAATACAAACAAATAGTCAAATAGAAAAATGTGATAATAACATAACCTTTGGACAAACAAATCTGCAGTTTTTATGCCAAATGTATCTGGATGCTTTTTTACCATCCAAAACTACATATACATTTTTTATGCCTACAACTAAAAATTTAGAGACTTCGAATTTCGGAAGAAAATAGCTTTATTCAATCATATGAAGAGCAAGTTGTAATATACTAAACAGAAGTGCACCCATTCATTCAAAAGGAATTGTCACAATATCATACCAAGACGATGAGATAAAGTGAAGTCAATTAAGTAGTAAGTTTTTGTCTATACCCTCAATTTATAATCAAACAAATAAACAATCAAATAGGATTTGATTACAAAATGGAAAAAGTAAAATAGAGGAAATATGATATAACGTAACCAGTTCCAACTAATCTAAAGAAACATAAAAATTACAACGCTAATTAGTTTTTGGAGCCTTTTAGAGATATGACTGAGATTAATATTGCCATGAAATATGAAGGTAAGTAATTTATTAGGTTTGTGATTCATAACAGGAAAAATAAATGAAAAATAAAAAACGGAAGCATGAAAAGTATAAAAATGGCTGAAATATTTTTGACTTATATTTCTTCATTGAAATTCAACATATTTCAACCATTCAGATTTTGGGAATCTTAGTTTAAGATTTTTCTATGCATAAAAATCAAGTTAAGACCAATGTCATTAAGTTTAGCAAACTTCTGGCTGCCGGGCTAATGAATTTTTGAGACTCCCCGAGTCCCCTTTCCCCTTAAGATAGTAGATTAAAAAATGCAGCTGTTAAGATACAAAAGTGCATCTTTGTCACTTGCCAGAAAATCCACATTTTCATTCAAGAAGCATTATTATTTTTAGGGTCAAGCCGAAGACTTCCTTTCTGGCTTCACCAAGGGCATTATGAACCTTGTCATCACATATCCGATACGCTTCCAGCCTGAATTTGAAAACAGAATTTTGTTTTGTCATCAAATGGACATCTGTAGCTAGAAAACCTCCAAACCTAATATTTGATTTCTTTGTTCACTTCATTTGATTAAAAACATTAAGCATAAGGTTATCTCGTTGATAAACATCATTTCTTAAAGGGAATCACATATTAGTTAAGCCTCACCTTTCTGAGGCTAATGAATGTGCTGCTAGCTTCTGTGTTCGACTCCATTGTCTTTGATGATCAATAGCATCCCTGATTGTTGAAGAAATGGAAGCCAACTGTGTTAACATTATTAGAAGCAAATATCTATAAGACTAAACAACATTTTTTAAGTACCAGGAAAAAGTGTTCACATTTTTTATCCAATCACACACAGATTGCTGAGCTTGCTATAAGAAAAATTTCAGCAAAAAACATGAAAAGTGACTAGATATATGAAATAATATGATATAACTATAACAAAAATACACGAGTCCAAACTAAATTCAGATCAGATAGTGTTATTTAAGTCCTCTATCATTACTTTATTCTAATATCAAATTTCACGAAGAAAAGCAATGGATTATAGAAAAAAAAACAGTATTCTTAAAGCATTAGGCCATTAGCCCCATGTTGGAATAGTGAAAGTTCATTATTAGATGAAAATAATAAAAGTCTGTTTCATGAATCCAGTTTATGATGGAATTTCAGAAAATGGTGTTATTTATTTTAATACCATGTAGAGTTCTCCCAAGTGATTCACCAGAATGAATGATTTTAGCATCTTTCATATTTACTTTAGTGTATTTAGTATATGTAGATATATCTTTATCTCTTCAAAAATACAATGTTTCTAAAAAAGAGACATTGAAGGTAAAAAGAGGAACATCATTTTTTGGAATTACTTAACTTCCGCAGTTAATCATAAAAAAAGAGAAAAAAGTTCGTGATCATTGCCTTGAACACTACATAGATGGATCTTCAACTAAGTGAAGCCCCAACCACAACTACTATAAAGAAATAAAAAATCACACTCATTTTTTTAACAAGTTTAATTATTGTTATCATTCACTACAGGTCTAATGTAAACTCTTCTACATGAAAATGTAATTGAATTATAATAAGCATCAGAACACAACATAAAAAAGGTTTTTAGACGAATTACTCCATTCCATAAAAATTGACAACCCAAATAGATAAATTAATTACTGATTAAGTAGAAAATACCTCTACTCGTTCTTCCCAACATATAAGACTAATTGTAGGAAGAGATACTTGATTGAGGAATTTTAACAAACACCTTCTTTTCCAAAAAAAAAAAAACTTTCTAAGTGATATAAACCTAGCAAATCGGGTATCATTTAAGATAAAAGATGAATATATGATCGGCTGGACTCCTGGTGGATTTCGGCAGATAGGTATCTTCCTTATTTAGAAATTTCATGTTGTTGAGGAAACCGATAATCTTGAGGAACTCCGATTTGCGTAGAAGATAGAAGGTAGGAGAAGAAGGGGAAGCGGAAGATGGAGAAGAGTTGCACTCACAGAAGAAATATGATCGGCAGAAGAAGTGGGAAGAGCCGAAGACGTACGATTTGTACAGAGCGAAGGAAAGAAATCGGTGATCTTTTAAAATGAAAGGTGCAGATCACTTTTAGATGAACGGTTTTGATGGATTTGTATTACTCTTAAGCATAAGGGGTTTATTCACTTGCATAAATTCACAACATATTTTTGCAGTGAAAACAATATGTTATTAGCAACAGCAATATCAACATTCAATTGACCCTTCCTATAAAAGTAATTTTTATTGCTACTATATAATGCTGTTTTTAGTGGCAACTAATTCTATAGTGTAAAAGTAATCCTTTTAGTAACAAAATTTTAGGAGGTGATTGTGATAGTGATGACAAGGAATAGCAGAATAGATATAAATTTCATAATGGCCCCTTTGCATATCATGGCCCCTTTCCTGGCTTGCGCACGAATCAAGCAGCGTTAAGCATGTCTATGTGCAATAATACAGAGGAGGATTAATTTACTCTCTAGTTAACCTATTATACAGTACACTTGGCAATCGATGAAAAAAGATGGGGAGAAATATAAATAAAATGATGAGGAAGTTGTTGTTGGGTGTGTTTCGAAAACAAAGAAAATAATTAATAAAAATTAATTAAATAAAATGATTAAAGAAAAATAGAAAGTAGATGAAATAGAATTTAGCCAAAGCTCGTGTTACGCACGATGTCATAAAAACGTATTCTTTGCCTCCCTGGATGCTAGAAGTGTTGCAACGATCGTTTCCCAGGATAAGATGACTACGAACAATTGTTTGAGCACTCAAACGAATTATTCCGGTGAACGATAACAAGTATGAACACGGAGGTACGTTTTCAGAAGCTAAAGGTGTTTTCCCGAGGTGGAGAAACGTGCAGGGAGTGTATGAATTGTTTCTGTTGTAAACCACCAGCTAGCCAATTTATAGGAGAAGGTTTTGGGTGTGTTAATGGCCAATTTAATGGTGTGATGAACGTTCTGCATTAAGGCAGATGAACGTTGGGCATTGATTGGGTTAGTTGGAGAAAAAAAAGTTGGAACGTAATGGGAAGAAACAAAATTTAATCAAATCTTTATAGGATAGATTTTCGGACAACACTCGTGTCCGCAGGTCGCCCGCGCACGCAAGTCGCCGTTTTTCTTCTCCGTTTTAGGGATTTGATCAGCACCCCCTGCGCGTGAAGAGAGCCTTTACACCTAAGAATCTTAATTCTTTCAAATGGGGTTCCCTTTATAAGGGGGTGAAAATCACTTGAGTTTTCAGGTGTGGGATAAAACACACTAGAATCACATCATTTTCCTAGTTTTCTCCATTTCGATGAGTGAACTTCGAGAATCAATTTCTCATTCAACCGTTATCCGTTTTGAGTGTACTTCATATCGAATTGTAGCCATTAGGAAGGACAATCTGAAACCACTTTGACCCGACCCAAATGAGAAGTGGACCCCACTCAAAAAATGCCCCAAAATGACCATTTAATGCAATTTATTAACACATTTTGCAACAGTTCTGACTGAAATTAGGAATCTATAAAATATTAGTAGCAACACTATCTCCTACCTGTTTTGTGCATACCATGTGTAAAGAAGAAGTAACTAGCAATCCTGATAACCTAAAACCAACAAGGATGTCAACCAAGCATTCTAGTAAAAACTAGAAACTAAAGTTAGCAAATAATCAAAATCCTAAAATAAAATGTAAGATGTTATCAAACACGACATACTAAAAAATAATCTAGCTTTAATAAAACCTTTAATCAAAACTTAATCTATAAAGCAAAAGAAATGCGCAGTACTCCTACATTGGAAGCGGTGATGCAGAGCAGAAGTGGAACACCTGAAATTCGAAGGACAAATTCGATTCTCTCTTTCGCTTTAAGCAATGAAGAAGCTAAGGGCAATTTTGCACAAAATAAGTTGGGGTAGTAGTTTGAGTTAGGCATGTCAATGAGTTGGGGTGGGGCGCATACTGCAAGACCCAGACCTGCCCCGTGACTTGACAGGTCTGGTCCACCCTGCCCCGTGACTTGCACGTGTAACACCGACCCCGAGTATATTTACTTTTAGTAAATTATGTAATAAACCTTGACGGATGATTTAAGAATTTGCGTGATTGTAAATTTTTATTATTTCTTTTACGTGAATAGTAAATTGCATGTAGGGCCCACAGCGGGGACGGGGACCGCCCGATAATTCCCGAACCACATATTATATTCATCTGGGTCTAGATGACATCTATATGGTTGTGGATATTTTATTTGGGCCATAAGAAAGGCATAGAGTTGACCAGTTGGCCAAACGGGGCCCAATTACCGGTATTAGTAATTTAGCGGATAACAGCCCGAAATAAGTTTCGGAGACTCCTAAATTAAAGTTGGGGAATTTATTATGAAACATATGTTGAAATATACTTCTTCTTCATATTAGAATATATGAGTGATTAAAAGTGATATTTTGAATATTGAGATATATGATATTTTCAAAGGAAAATAAGTTGGAATTGTCTATATGACTATGAGTTGAGAACTTGATTTGTTGATATTAATTTGACTAGTATTATGATACTAGTTGGACATCAAAATGAAATGTTGTTAAGATTGATCCTAAGATTGGATTGTGAAATGTTAGGCCTTAAGTAGTCTTAAGAGATACTTAAGGTAGGAAAGTATGAACTCTAAGTTATACTAGGGGTAGGCCTTAAGGGATACCCAAGATAAAGTAAGTAATAAATTGATCCTAAGCATAGGATTGGCCTACGGGTGTGTTCGGTAGTCCTTGTGGATAGCCGGTTGAATTATGGAAATAGTAAGGACCATGGCCCTTCCCGACTCTAGAGAGCGGGGTTGGATAGCATGGACTTACATCGTGATCACGGGTTAGGGTGGAATTCGAATCGGAGACCTAACTAGGTTCCGGTAGCGGTAACACATAAGATAGGACCCCGAAGGGCCTTACCTTCCTACGGGATGAGGGGTATGAGTCCAGGGGCGGGATGTTGGAGTCCGAACCGGGAGCCTCAGGAGGTCTCGGACAGTGGTAGCAAGTCCCGTAGAAATGATAGGACCCAAGGGTTGGGTTGTGCAAATGATAAATGAAAAGGGATATATAAGAAGGGCTGTGTGCCGACAAATAAATAAATTTACTTATTATAAAGATAATGAGTGGGAAATATATATTATTATTTATATTATGATATCACCCTATTTTGAGGGTCTTGGAAATTAAAACGTTGATTATACTTAGTATAGTTGCTATTGTACTTGTCAAATATTTCCAAGTACTGACCTCCCCTTCACGGGGGAGGCCACCTCACAGTTTCAGGTAGAACTTGAAGTTGCTACCATTGCCCGTTGCTCCGGGAGGCTCAAGGGAGGAAGACGTGGTTCATGCTTCTTCCGTTCTGTTTTAAAAACAATTAAGTTAATGCTCATGGATACTATTTTCTTAATAATTACTTTGGGGGCTTGTATGCCTAGTTATGCCAAGTGTGGCTTGAACAATTGTATTAATGCTTCCGCTGTTTTAAATGCATGATTTACATTATGTTTGTTTATGGATGTACTATGTGTGAATGATATTCATGACGCCTTGTATAGTATGGATGAGTTGGACTGCGGTTGACTATTCGTACTGTACGGCGGGTTGTTGACGTGTCCGGCCAGGTCCGGGGCGTGACAGCACGGGTCCAAACTTGTTGACCCATGACCCGCCCCATGCGGGGCGGGTCCGCCCGCCCCGCTCCGCCGTAACCTAATTAGCTAGTATGTATTTTTATTTGTGAGAAGTTGTTACCAATTGAATCTACATAAAGTTTATTTTTAAATAATTATTAAAAATTAATATATTAAATCAAATTCATGATACACTAGAAATTTCAAAAGTTACGGAAAAATCACTTAGACTTGAATAGTTAATCTATTTAATTATATTAATACTTGAATATATGTATTAAAATGCTATATATAAAAAAGACATTGATAATCCGCCGTTCATCTCAATCTAATATATTTATATATATATATATATATATATATATATATATATATATATATATATATATATATATATATATATATATATATATATATATATATTGATATATTATATGATCAAAGAATTTATGATTTATTGTATACACGCATATGTATGTTGAAGTATATTTTGTAGTATAATTTAAGAAAAAGTATGTATATACTTATATATTGAGCGGGGAGGGGCGGGGCGGGACGGGACGGCACAGGTCAATACTAATATCCAGACTCTTCCCATTGTATAGACGGGGCGGGGTGAAATTCCCATAATAAAACTAAAAGTCATGTTTGCCGGGAAATCACATGATTACACGGTAAGAATCATATGGATGTTGAAAACCATTTTTTCTGGAGCAAGTTATAACACTTTTAAGGGTAAAGTGGCTCATATGGGCCATATGGCTGCTAATTCGAATGCTACTTATCACGATATGGGTGAATCTCAATGAGAGTCGAATTAACGATCTCTTGATACAAAATGTATGTGGAACGAAGGTGTTACAAACGATATGCATACCAAAAGAAATTTCACTTTGCACATTGAATGATTTTTCGACTTATGATAGTCATTCTGGGCGTGTGGTTAGAGTTAAACATGTCCCATTTGTGAAGAGAATACCATTGATATGCAATTTCCCTATAGCGTGAAAAATCTATGCATGTACCATCAAAAGTTTCTTTCACACACGCATTGTTATTGTGCACTTAAGAGTTAAGAAGGCTTTTAAAGGGGGAAATTGAACACAATCTTTAGTAATGCTTTTTAAGCTGAACAACTTTTGTTAGTCTCGTATTTCTATTTTGATCCGGGTGAGAGAGTGAGATTAATAATAAAGCCATCTCCATTCATAGGATTATTTGAGGATTAAGTTGGTGATGTGGCGGATTATTTTTGAGATCATGATTGAGTGGTGAAGATTATTTGGTGAGATTATTTGACAAAATAATCCTGGATTGAAATATGGATCCAGATTATTTCAAGAGTATTGTGCAGCTAGTATTAATTGGTGAGTGCGGGACCCACAAAAGATCTGATTATTTTGAGATGATGAATGGTGTAATTTTAAAAGTGTGAGATTATTTTGAAAAAATCTACGTGTCAATCTACGTGTCATTGAAAATCTGTTTATTTAAGTAGCATGCATGTGGATGCTCTAAGACATGAATAGCATAATAGACCACAGCCAGGATAAACATATATTTATCCAAAACTTGATTTACATACAACAGTTTCAGACATTATCATCGGACAATCCCAATGATAAGGAGGTCTAATTAGGTCCACTTAGACAGACAGTGACAAATTATTACAACACTAATTGAACAACAACATTTCATCATCACATTACATCATTTCTTTTTCAATATGTTCTGAGACAATATTTTTTTGCAGAAAGGATTGCTGCGGAGAATGTGCATGTGAGGCCGCACAGCATTAACTAACAAAGCACGGAGGGACGCCTGTCACATATTAATAGATTTAAAAACAAAAAATTTAGAAAACATGAAATAAGACATAAGCCAGTATGGATGCTTTGCTCTAAAGACTTGAATTTTGGAGTGAAGAAGATTTTTAAGATAAAAATGAAGTTTAATTGGTATAACTTCAGTTTCAATTACCGAGCCTCCATCACAAAATTAAGTAATTAGTGTTATAATTAATGTAAAAACTTAATTGGAAAGTTTAATGTCTATGTGAATTTATATCAAAATATTCATACTTAATCACTCAAATTTTAAGAAACATGTATTTGTACTTTTTCAGTTGTAAGAGAAAATCATAAACAAGCGGATTGGTGTGCCGTGTTGAGATTCAAATCAGTATATATGTTTGCATTTAAGATATACTACTTCTGTCCCTCAAATAAGTTCAAGGTTAAACTATAATTTCGTTATATATATTAAAAAATGAAGTATTCAAAATTATTTTGGGGTGTTATAAAGTAGTACTACATCCGTTACTTTTTAAAGCAACATTGGTGAATTTTTTTACTATTTACATTGTCTACTTTGACTACATTTTATTTATTAATGTGTTACATAAATTATTATTTTTTTAAATATTGTTAAGTCTATCTCATTTTAAATTTTCAAAATATGCTTTTTACTAATAAAGAATGAAATATATTAATGGTCAAACTTGTGCATTGGCAAGCCTGAAAATTAGAACGTTGCAACTAAAAAAGAACGGAAGAAGTGCGATTTTGAATAATTAACGGTCAAAATTAACAATAGACACAAAAAGTCAAACCTGAATTTAATCGTGGGACGAGGGAATATTATAATGACTCATATATGACTACTATAAAAATAATGGTAAAGACGTGACATTTGTAGTAATTACATCGACTATGATCATGTTCAATTTCGAAACACAATGGTCATTACGAAATACTTCATACATAATACCTATAATCATATTTTTGTCTATAACTTCTATTTTATTAATACTTTAAGAAAAAACTCTTAGGATATATACTTTTCAAAATCATGTGAAAGAATAATTGAAACAAACGTACCAAACAAATAATGTGATTTTCTGTAAACCATTTTAATTACTACGTATAAAATTTGTAGGACTAAATTATTTTGGCCTTCAAGCTCGAGCCTGATTTTAATGCTTGATCTGTTTTATGTCCAATTATAAGATCAATAATGTAAAACACAAAAACACGTCAAGAAACATGACAAAACATAATCTAGTTCTTGTTTGATCATTTAAAGTAGGATAATGGAAATATGAGAAGTGGTGGGATAGGCAAACCTTGGCAACTCCAAATGCAGATTGAATGACATAGTTGGCAAAAGGGTCTTGAAGCAAGTGTTCAAAGTGAGGGAATGAGACTAATTCATGAATGATGATTGGTCGGCTTTCTTCGATAAACTTGAGGCACTTCTCAACGACGTGGCTGCTGAACTTTTGCTTTGACAGGTGTACAAAGTTCCCTTGGAACTGTGAAAGAAGCAAAGCGGCTGTACACTGGTTCTTCTGCTCTATGATATATTGGATCACATAATTTCTGTGGTAAAGTCATCATTTTTTTTCATCAGGCCATATATAGAAAAACTTATTAGCACAACTGGCAGCAAAAGCTATGATCAATGTTACTTTGCAGTTAAACTAAATTGAGATCATTCAAATATACTAAACCTCTAACTAACTTCACACAAGAAATACTAAAAGATACAAAGCCTAGCTTCAATGGATTTTACAAAAAAGCTTTACAAGCAATTGCTTAATTAGGATTTTGGCAGCATTACCAGACATTTTGTTGATTTGGCCAGAATGGATGTCACTAAACGTTTTTCCTTTCGGATATGCTAGCTTATTTAGCTGTTTCAGCTAAACAAACCACCAAACGAGTCCTTATTTTCCCGAGAAGTTTATTTAAAGGAAAGTAGAACATGGCATTTACCCCCCCCCCCCCCCCCCCCCCCATGTGCATGGATGGAAGAAAGTTCTAAGTTATGCAAGTTCAAATAACACAATGATGTAAATGTAAACTTTGGGGATTCATGTCCTTCAAAAAAGTAATAAAGTCTGATACAAAAACTATAATACTATTTTTTTTACCCAAACGCATCCTGAGCGAGGACGAAAGCATGAAATGAGATGCTAGCGAGCAGCTTGTCGCGTTGCTTTCCAGTGGAATAACCAATGCATTTGTTTAAAACACAGCATCCATAGCGGTGTGTGGCAATGCCAAAGCAGTGTCTTGCAGCAGCGTTCATTATAAACTGCAGAGTTATTTTGTATAACCAACATAATAAAAAGGTTTTATAATTAATAATAAATAATAGTTACCTAAAAGAATGTAATAACAATGCCATATTCTAATGGAAGCATCTCATTATCTATAGGATTAATGTTGAAATACATAATATGATTAGTAGAACTGTAATTAAGACAAATGAGCATATCCATTTGTTTTTGTCCAAAACCAAAGTACATTTGACACTTCAGTGTTATTACAATTTTGTCAATGTTATATGTGCATTTTTCTTCCCCATCCTTTCCTAAATAACAGGAGGAAAAAGGAAGAAGCAAGTAGTAAACTTTGGTGAAGTGGATGGTCCAGGATAAGTAATATAGATTTCGGGGAATGCTATAGATTTGAGAAAAACACTCTTTGAGTTAGCCTATGTGTGAGAATGTGAGATACTCTCTTTCTCTTTACAGTTTGAGCTAATATTCCTTACTCCAACAAAAGTTAATCTTAAATATGTCACTTTTGCATATCAAGAGAACGTTAATTGCTCATTTACACCCTTCTTTTTCTATAAACACTATATAATGCTTTGTATCATTAATACTCCCTTATTGAGTGTTATTTTAGTAGTTTTCAGGATACTTTAGAAAACAAAAAGTATAGATGTGTTAATGTGGGAGTAAAAAAACCTTAAATTTCTTAATTAAGAGTATATACCTTATTATGTTCCTTGGTAAAAGATTGCAAGCAACGGTGAAGGACATGGTTGCCATTAAGATCAGTAGCAAGATCAAGAAAACCAGGTTCAAGTGCCTCTATAACCATTCCTATCTCCTGCCTGCTCTTTATGGTCTCTATTAGCTTCTGCACTACACGCGTCCTGTTCATGACAATGAACCCAAATTTCCATCATCATTACCATTAGTCAAACAGTATCAACAACTTTAATCAAACAAGAAAGAAGTAAAAGATATGTTTACAAATATACCCGTGTGTGTCCAATGAGATTCTAACAAGCAAGCCTGGTTCTCTAGTAACCCTCAGCACAATCTGCATCCTCTGTTCATCATTGCAGAAGATCAACAACTTTTGGACTAGATAGTTCCCAAATTGATCCACCATGAACTCCACTACTCGACCGATGATCCCATCAAAGATTAACTGCACATCTTGAGATGTCCCTTGATCGAATGCTTTCTGTAAGATCCTACACCCCAGTTGATTCTTGGCAATGTTGCATATGTAGTCTGATGCTTGAACAGTCCCCACCATTTTCTGACCTTTGAAATAATCTAGACCCTCTCCCCCTTCTTCTTGTTCTTGATGAGGAATGATGAAGTTTTGTTGCTGTTGATGTTTATAATCATCAGCTGAAGAGGATGATGATGTTGAACAGTTCCATATCTGGCTGGGATATGGGCTTAACAAGGCACTACTGTTATCTGGAACAACATTAGCACTGCTAGCCCCATTCATGATAGGAGGAGGGTAGTTGAAATCCAGTCCAAGGTTGTTTGTATCCTGGAAGCTTCTAGATGGACCGAATGGACGGCTGCTTAGAAGAACATTGTTACCTACTCCTGCATCTTCTTCATACCTGGTAGGAGAGTAGAAGAAACCTTCACCAAAACTTGGACGTCCATTAATGGCGATAGAGTTTAGAAACTCTTCAGATGTTCTCATACCCACATTGCTGTATGCTTGCCTTCCGAACGGAATCCTGGGATTTGGAGATTGTAATAAAGATTCAGACCCTCTAAAATCACCTATATTATTATTACAGTTCAAATCCCTTCCCACTACTGTTCCATTCAGCCAAATATCATCTAATGACCTTTCCCCAGATTCAATAGATCTTATTGTCCCATAATAATCCCCGATGTGCATTCTGTGAAGCTGATCGGCCAACAACCAATCCAGATTCTGCCCATTATTATTATTGTTGCTATTATTAAGGTAGCCATCGAACAACACAGAAGAGCTCAAATGCCCAGAAAGGTTATTGCTATTACTATTACTCCATACATTCAGTGTCCGGCTCGCAGAGGGATGATCAAATGCGCCGCCGAAAGACGAAGAAGACGACCCATCAACAAAGTGTCGACCATAATCACTTGACAATGATGATCTCAACGGACCCACCGCCGGAAAACCAGTGATCATCATATCATCAAGGTAGTCATTTCCATCGACATACTTTTTATTGACACTCCCCTTTCCCTTGGCAGGATACATCACATCCAGAGGATCTTAAGCAACGGAAAAATATGCAAAAGCACGTACGGAGATGAACCCACCTATAATAACAATAACAGAAATCAAGAAAGGACGAGAAGACGTGGAACAGAATATTGTGGCGTTTGAGAAGCTAGAGAATAATAATGGGGGAGGTGGTTGTTAAGGGTCGGCCGCCGTCGTCCTCACTCACGCCATTAAAATGGAGAGAGGATAGCTTTTTAGCTCTGTCTGGTCTGTACCAAATGCTCACTACTACAACTACAGGGCAGGAGATGCAGAGAAGTGGCAGTGCAGAGGAAAAAGAAAAAAGGGGAGAGGAGAGAGAGAGCTTAAGGTGGTTTGGCTCTGAATCTGAAGAGTGAATACCTAGTGACGAGTTTTTATTTGCTCAGTATTTAATAAAATAAAATTAAAAATGTTACACAAAAAGCGGAATAACGCACAACAAAAGGCCTCAATCCGTCCATGTTATTGTCGGGTCATTCCATTTGTGCAACAAAATTTATGCTCTAAAATTATTTCATTTCATCCATTTTATTTCAAAAATAGGACTAATATACGGAGTATGTCTCTTCTTCTCATTCTACCCCTTCCTATCATTCCAATATATTTATTTTATTAATAAGAAAATCATAGTTTTATTTATAATAAAAATATAAAAATAATAAAATATTTATAAAATAATAATGAAAACGTGAAAAAATAAAATAAAAAATAATAAATAATAAATAAAATTTTTAAAAAATTTTAAAAAAGTCCCAAAAATAAAATAAAAATACCTAAAAAAATTTAAAAATATGTAGGCCAACGCGTCCTCTACCTCCCAGCACCACCGACTCCGGTCGCCAAAAAAATGTCATCTTGTGTAAAAAATGTCACATTTCTCTGAAAATGTCATAAAGATTACATTTTTACTCTTTGAAAATATCCAGCTTTCTCTCGCTTTCTCTTCAAAATTGCCATCATAATGACATTTTTTCCCCAACTTGACAATCATTTTCGGTGACCGGAGGTGGCGGTGCTGGAAGGTGGCTGATGTAATTGTTGGGGTCTATATATTTTTTAATTATTTTTTACGATTTTTTATTTTTTTTTTTGATTTTTTTATATTTTATAATGATTGTTTAAAAATCCTATTATCAAGGACAAAGGAAAGGGTAGAATAGGAAGAGTTAGTCCTATTTTAGGAATTTAAACTTTAAACTCCTATTGTTGCAACTATCCTTTTATTTACTCTTATTTAGGTAAATCTCCCGATTTATATTTGAAAACTACCTTTGCACACGTCATTTGCACATATTTTGTACGCATTTTGCACACATTGTGGCATTGTGCACGCGTCTCTTGTATTTTATTAGTTTCACATGATTCATTCATCTTAAAACATTCCAAAACTATATGTGATAGACAAAATATATGGACCTATATAAATGTAGTTAGAATTAACCTTCTATATTTCTTTGAATAGTATTATACTGTGTATTATTACAATGTGAATAGCGTTAGAATAAGGATGTTTTTACTTGAATTGAATTTCTGGCCTGGTGTGGTCTTGTTTAAGTCTGGTTTGGTCTGATCTAGTCTGAACTGGTCTGGTAAATGTCTGGTCTTTGTGTATTTTATAACTATGAAAGTCTAGTTTGATTTGGTCTAATCTGAAAATGAGAAAAAATGGGAAGAAAACCCTGAACTGATATGGTGTAGTAAATGTCTGGTCTATATGTATTTTACAACTATGAAAGTCTGGTCTGATATGTTTAAGTCTGGTCTGGGACTGAAAGATGTCCAAGTAAAAACATCCTAAACTGAACTCATATACATTACCAAATATGGAGTATCATACTAGACATACTTGATGAGACGAGTGAAAAAAAATACAAATGGTAATATGTTTTAATTCTTATTTTATTTATATTGCACATTTTTAGTTGTGTCAATAACCTTATTACTTTCTAATGTCTTAGTTTTAGTTCGATGAAGTTTTTTTGAAAGAAGTTCGATTAAGCTAATTAATTAATATCAATTTATCCATGGAGAAATAAAAAATAGTACGTCGTCACTATATTATGTTCATTGTGTGTGTCAACAAAAAGTTACTGATTTACGAATTGGTTTACAAAGATATATATTACCAACATTGCTAAATTGCTAAATTAAGGGGAAAAGGTTTACGTCATGTTTGAAGCTAGATTGTATTTATAAATACGAAATCAGAAACAACAAATAAATTTAAAAAACATTTACAAACAACATAAAAAATCACAAAGAATGTACAAATGCATGTCTACGCGAAAATATTTTTAAAATATCAACATTGATTAAATTTAAAATAACAAATCAATTGTTTAACCGGGACCGTCGATTCAGTCCCAAAAATTGTAATACAGGACCGGGTACTCGAACATCTGCAATGGACCGGTCTTAAGCCTTTGACCGAAAAACCGGACCCACTTCGTGGTCCAACAGTATCGGACCAGGTTTCTTACCGGGTCCATGACCAGGGGCGGATCTACTCACATATGAGGGGGGCAGCTGCCCCCAATAAGATCTCACTAACCCTTTGTAAGTTTTTAATTAAAATTAAAGGTCCAAGTAATTGCCCCCAATAAAAAGAAGTAGTTGCCCCCAATAAACAAAATGAATTGCTCCCAATAAAAAGAAGTAGTTGCCCCTTTGCTAGTTTAGTACTCCGTATAGTTGTTTTATGACTTTATATATTGTTTACTTTCCGTATTTAATATAAAGGGAAAATGGGCAAATAAGCCCACGTACTAACAAAAAAAGGTCAAATAAGTCCTTATTTAGGAGGCTCTGTCTGGTTGTCCTCATTTGGGGCGGTTCCTAAAGGAATTATCTGATGATTTTTTTTTAGCATCTTATTCATTCAGTCTAGTTTATGCATACCAAATTTCAGCTAAAACTTCCATCGCGAAGATATTCACATGAATTCTTGAAGATAATTGTGCAGTTAAAAACGCAGTTATCTTCAAGAATTCATTTGAATGTCTTCTCGATTGAATTGTTAGATAAAATTTGGTATGAGAAAACTAGACTCAATGAATAAGATGCTCAAAAAATTTCATCAAAAAATTTAACCGGAAACCGCCCCAAATCTTGACGGTCGGACAGAGCCTTCTAAATAAGGACTTATTTGACATTTTTTTATTAGTACGTGGGCTTATTTGTCCCTTTTCCCTAATATAAATATTAAGGATGTTTTTACTTGGACTACAATTTACTGGTCTAATCTGTTTAAGTATGATCTGGTCTGGTAAATTTCCGGTCTTTGTTTATTTTATAACTACGCAAGTAAAGTCTGGTATGGTATATTTAAGTCCGGTCTGGTCTGGTCTATTTAGTCAGGTCTAATCTGGTCTGGGATTGAAAACAATCCAAGTAAAAACTTCCTAAATAGTATTACTAAACTGATAATAATGTTAAAAATTTATTATAGGGTTATTTATTTAAATGAATCGGATTTAATATTTTAGAAAGATCAATTAGATTAAATTCAATTGGTGTGTTTCCGAAATAGTTACCCATCTATTAATGTAATGTTTTACACTTGGAAATTATAAATTACAAAATGGCATTTAATATGTTAAAAACACTAAATATAAATAATATGTTACTTTAGGTAGTTAAATAAAATGTATTAATGTATTACAAAAGTTAATTGTGATGTATTTTGTTAAAACTTTTATTGAAATTTGAAACTGTTACAAATGAAATTGTAATGAATATTTTCTAAAAGATTAAAACTGGGCGCGAACAAGTGTGATGTATTTTGTTAAAATTATTGTACTATTACATTAATACTTTATTAATTTTTTTGATGCATTTTTTGTTTACCCCGCCCGCCCCCAATAACTTTGTATCCTAGATCCGCCACTGTCCATGACTAGTCATAATAGACTAGCAATCACTCAAATTTGAAAGAAGGCTCTATTTTGTGTGTTAAGAATTACTCCGTGTGTAAAAGCTATTTGAAAATATTTTGTGTACGAGCCAATCCTAAAAAATCTGGCTACGCACCTGGTTGCAGGTGCGGACCTCCCTATGTTCAAAAGTGTTCACGTGAACATCCAATTTTTTAACTAATAGTGTAAAAATACATATATATGGGTGCTAGTGTAAAAATTTATATATGTACTTGAAGACCCAAAATAAATTTGAACCTTCAAAATTTATGTACAAGATCCGCCAATGCCTGACAGTGAAGTGTGGACAACCCTTCATCATCAATCAATAACACTATTTTCATTCCTATTTAATGTAATTTGTGTACTATTTATATGATGTAAATTATGAAATGCATAAAATATGCTAATCTGTTTTGTTTTATGATTTATTACTCCCATATCATGGTTTAACGATTGGTAATCAATAGGCATCCACTGAGGTATGGGCAACGGGATATAGTCGGATGTTATACTCTTCCCTCCCATATTTAACTCCGGTTTTGATCGGACACAAGTTTTAAGATAGTGAAATTTGTGTGGTGGAGAGTTATGCAGAGGAGAGAGAAATATGTAAGAACGGTTATGAATCACATATTCTTTACCAAAAATAGGAAAATGAGATAAATTTAGAACGGACAAAAAAGGAAAGTACGAAAATAATTCCGGGACGAAGGGAGTATTTGGTAAAAACCCATGGTCATAAATCATAAGTATATATACCGAATTACCGATTGCATTTATTTATTTTTTTTGAAAGGAAAACGACTATATTGATATCATTAGAATCGAGATCGTTACAACAATCTCAAAATAACCAGAACTGACAACAACCTTCACCTTCCAACTACTACTCTTAGCCCTACGATTAGACATAGAAACGACCACCCCTAAATGAGCAATACGAATCGCTAACCACCAGACGGGCTTAATGCAGCTATTGCTGAAAAAATAGATCCGTCCTCAACTAATAATATCAAATCTAGCCGAACCCTCGATCAATGTAAAAAACCTATTACCATAAACAAATACCAACGACAAAACGATATCATTTATTTATTCAGGGTTTTATCACATGTGACTTGTTTGGGACTTATTTTAGTAATTTACCATGGACAATTACATGAAGATCGAATTAGATCCGATGAATTCGTTTAATTATACGTAGAATGTTTCAACAAAAACAGAAATAAAAAACAGAATTTAAACTTGGTATGCACAACCTAGAAAAATAAAGAGAATATTATTAATTTCCTTTGGTAAAGTAAGATAGAATATTATCCAATCGGAGGCCAGATCAGATCAGATCAAACTTAAACAGACCAGATCATACCAGTCTCGACAATTGTAACTTGTAAAATACACATAGAACACATATTT